CCAGCAAAATCTGAGATGTACCTGTGGGCTCTGTCCCCTAACATCAGCCCCAGATGCCAGACTCCCCGGCCCCAGGGCCTAGACGCACAGCTCATTTGTTCTAACACAGATAACAATATTTTGGAGGCATATATTGCTCGGATCAATTGCATGAACCCTCTTTCCCAACCTCATGAAGCACTGTCTAGGGTTATAATATTGCTGGTAATAAAGTTCAGAAAAAAATAATAATTATATTAATAAGTCATTTGCTGACAGGTTAGTAGGCACCTTTTGGCATTTACTTCATTTAATCCTCACAATAACCATGTAAAATAGGTACTATTGTCACTTTAGTGTCCATACTTCATTATGTGGAGAAAATACGCAGTTGGTAGGAGTATAAACTGATATAATGTCTTAGGAGGATAATCTGGAAACATCTATGGAAAGTAAAAGTGCAATTACTCTTTGACACGGCAATCTCACTTCTGAGAATGTATCTATAGATATACTTCATAGGTGCCCAAAGATGGAAATGTAAGAATATTAATTGGGGCCAGGAGGGTAATTTGGAAATGTCTATGCAAATGAAAAGTGCAATTATCCTTCGACATAGCAATTTCACTTCAGAGAATGTATTTATAGATGTCCCTCATAAATGCTCAATATGGAGATGTAATATTAATTGGAGCACTGCTTATAACAGTAAAAACCTGAAGGCTGGGCGCGGTGGCTCAAGCCTGTAATCCCAGCACTTTGGGAGGCCAAGACAGGCAGATCATGAGGTCAGGAGATCGAGACCATCCTGGCTAACACGTTGAAACCTCGTCTCTACTAAAAAACACAAAAAACTAGCTGGGCGAGGTGGTGGGTGTCTGTAGTCCCAGCCACTGTAGTCCCAGCTACTCGGGAGGCTGAGGCAGGAGAATGGCTTGAACCCGGGAGGCGGAGCTTGCAGTGCGCTAAGATCCGGCCACTGCACTCCAGCCTGGGCAACAGAGCGAGACTCCATCTCAAAAAAAAAAAAAAAAACCCTGGAAAAAGGCCAAGTGCAGTGGCTCATGCCTGTTATCCTAGCATATTCAGAGGCTGAGGCAGGAGGATTACTTGAGGCCAGGAATTCAACATCAGCCTGAGCAACACAGCAAGACCGTATCTTAAAAAAAAAAAAAAACAGCCAAGCCTGTTGGCATGAACCTGTACAGTCCTAGCTACTTCTGAGTTAGAGGTGGGAGAATGGTTTAAGCCCAGGAGTTCAAGGCTGCAGCAAACTATGATCACATCACTATATTCCAGTCTGGGTGACAGAGCAAGAGTCTGTCTCAAACCAAAAAAAAAATTAATTAATTAAACATATACCCAACACACTTAAGCTAACAGTTACCAAAAACAGTTATAACAGTTACCAAAAACAGTTACACGCTAGTTATAACAACTGTTTAAAAAGGTACTTCTAGAAAAATTAAGCTCAAAAGGCAAACTGTATTAAATGTGCTTCCCTTCATTCCTTTAAACTCAAGGTTCCTCAACGTACAAAGGCCAGAATAAGCATTAACAATTAAACAACTCTGTTACAGTTTAATATTATGCTATGTTAAGATTCCTTTTTTTTTTTTCTTTTTTTTTTTTTGAGACAGTCTCGCTCTGTCGCCCAGGCTGGAGTGCAGTGGCCGGATCTCAGCTCACTGCAAGCTCCGCCTCCCGGGTTTTCGCCATTCTCCTGCCTCAGCCTCCCGAGTAGCTGGGACTACAGGCGCCCGCCACCTCACCCGGCTAGTTTTTTGTATTTTTTAGTAGAAATGGGGTTTCACCGTGTTAGCCAGGATGGTCTTGATCTCCTGACCTCGTGATCCGCCCGTCTCGGCCTCCCAAAGTGCTGGCATTACAGGCTTGAGCCACCGCGCCGGGCCAAGATTCCTTTTTTTTTGGGCCGGAGTCTCACTCTGTCCCAGGCTGGAGTGCAATGGCATGATCTCAACTCACTGCAACCTCCACCTCCTGGGTTCGAGTGATTCTCCCGCCTCAGCCTCTTGAGTAGCTGGGATTACAGGCACCCACCACCAGGCCTGGCTAATTTTCGTATTATTAGTAGAGACAGGGTTTCACCATGCTGGCCAGGCTGGTCTCGAACTCCTGATCTCAAGTGATCCACCTGCCATGGCCTCCCAAAGTGCTGGGAATACAGGAATGAGCCATGGCACCCAGTCTTGCCTCCCACTCTGTTCAAAGTCATCCCTCTGCTCACTGAGAAAGATGCGTATCTGGTTGCCTCCTTTGGAAAGGCTTATCAGAAACTCAAAAGAATGCAACCATTTGTCTCTCACCTACTGGTGACCTGGAAGCTCCCTCCCTGCTCAAGTTGTCCCCGCCTTTCTGGACTGAACCAATGTACTTCTTGCATATACTGACTGATGTCTCATGTCTCCTTAAAATGTATAAAACCAAGCTGTGCCCGACCACCTTGGGCACATGTCATCAGGACTTCTGCAGGCTGTGTCACAGGCACACATTCTCAACCTTGGCAAAATAAACTTTCTAAATTAACTGAGACCTCTCAAATTTTCGGGGTTCACATGTTCATCTTGTTCTGAGACTGAAATGTGTGGGTTCAAACAGTGAGCAAGTAGAACCAAAATGTTTGGCTTAGAAGAAAAGTAGATACAGGCATATAAAATTGAGAAGGCTGAGTAGAATCCTAGTCTTACTTTTTTATTTTTTTTTTGAGATGGAGTTTCACTCTTGTTGCCCATGCTGGAGTGCAATGGCACTGCAACCTCCGCCTCCTGGGTTCAAGCGATTCTCTTGCCTCAGCCTCCCTAGTAGTTGGGATTACAGACACGCACTACCATGCCCAGCTAATTTTTTGTATTTTTAGTAGAGATGGGGTTTCACCATGTTAGCCAGGATGGTCTTGATCTCCTGACCTCGTGATCTGCCCTCCACGGCCTCCCAAAGTGCTGGGATTACAGACCTGAGCCTCCGAGCTCAGTCCCTTTTTTTTTTTTTTTTTTTAAAGAGACAGAGTAGTGCAGTGAAGTGATCATGGTTCACTGCAGCCTCGACCTCCCAGGCTCACAGGTTCGTACCATCTTAGCCTCAGGAGCAGCTAAGATTACAGGCCCACCCTAGCATGCCCAGCTTCACTGGCTACTTTTGAAGGATGTTAGCGAACCAATTCATTATGTGAAACCTAGTAAATAATGCAGAAGAATTAAGAATTTATCCTCCCTTTTCTATAAAAGGTATACAGTACTTCGAGATAACCAAATAGTGGAGGCATGAAAAATTCTCTTTATAAAAATATTCTACTTAATAAAAGAAGTTAGAGAATTCAAATATCAACAATTTCAGTGCTTACTGAAATGACTGTAGGCACTGACAATCAAGGGCTGCAAACAAAGACTACTAATCATTTCTGCCTACTTACCTATGAAGTTTTCTTGACAAAAATAAAGCTGAATTTGATCACACCTTTAGACCTAACGACCAGTTTTCAGTAAATTCTGTACTGTTAAACTACACCACAGAGTAAAATCGAGATTGTGCATAACTCCACATGACAAACTACCAGGTTTCATCAACAAATAAATTACAGGAGAAAACTAAATATGGAGGGGGAAACTACCATAAAACTAGTCACACTGTATGGATAGCATGTGGATCCAGATTGAAATTGTTAAAAAAAAAAAAAAAAAAGAGACAATTCTGAAAATTTTAACACTGGCTGGATATTTGAAAGTATTAAGGAATTACTCATTTTCTGTGATAATGGTACTCATGTTTACCTTTTTTTTAAGTCTTTAAGATATACATATTGAACTATTTAACGGTTAAATGATATCTAGGACTGCGGGGATACGATGAAGCAAGATTGACTGTTGAAACTGGATGAGAAAAGGGGTTTATATTATTTTCTCTCTACATATGTGTATATGTGAAGAGGTAAACATGGAAGGAAAGAAAGGAAGGGCAGTCAACCTAACTCTTAAGTTTCAAGTAATAAATAAATACTTTATCTTTAAAAGCATTTCAGTATTTACTTTTCTTATTCAAGTCAAAGACTATAAGAAAGAACTAAAAACTAATAATCATGTAAAGAAACAGTTTTTATGGCAAAATCAGTAACACAAAACTGAACACCAAACAAAACCTTCTCAGTATATCAGATAACATCAAAAGAATTAAGGGGAAAAAATGATCAGCTTGTACGAAGCATATTTTAGAAGGAAAACTATCTCACAATTCGGGGACTGGCTAGAGTTTAGACTCACATCACTCAGTGAGTCTCCGAAACTTTAAAACCTAAAGACATCACAAGTAGTAAACTAACAAATCATACCAGCTTGTCCATACCATTGTAAACCACATCGAAACTCTGAAAAACAGTTTTGATGCCAAAATCATCCACTTCCTTAAAAGACAACTTTACTATTCTAGTTTTCCCCACTGTCAAAATCAAAGGGGTGTATTAAAATTTTAACGTAGGCCAGGCGCGGTGGCTCACGCCTGGAATCCCAGCACTTTGGGAGGCTGAGGCGGAGAGATCACAAGGTCAAGAGATCGAGACCATCCTGACCAACAGGGTGAAACCCCGTCTCTACTAAAAATACAAAAACTAGCTGGGAGTGGTGGCGCGCGCCTGTAGTCCCAGATACTCAGGAGGCTGAGACAGAAGAATCTCTTGAACCCGGGAGGCGGAGGTTGCAGCGAGCAGAGATAGCACCTCTGCACTCCAGCCTGGCAACAGAGCGAGACTCCGCCTCAAACAAACAAAGAAAAAGTTATCATCACTGGCCCTTGTCCATTCAAGACTCCAAAGTTTACAAATCAACTTTCATACAATTCATACCCTCTGCCTGAAATGCCCTTCTCTCTCTGGTGCCTGCTGAACTCCTACCCATCTACTCCAAGCTTGTTTTCAGTAGGTTCCTCTACTCATAGACACAGTCTACCTATCAGCATTCTATTTCCTATCCCCATTAATATCTCAATTTTTCACACAAAAAATCATAACTTACTAGTAATGCATACAGCTATCAGCTATGTTTTTGGTCTTTGGAGATATGATCACTGCTTTTTGGATTCTAGGCATAAATTATGCTCAAACCAACAACAGTTTCAGGCGAACCAAAATATGTTTTTCAAGGTGGGTATGCATAAAGTGAATGCAAATTACCTCCCAACTATCTTGAGCCATCACAAGAACAAAGATAAAAGTCACTGTAATAAGGAAAGGCCCTCTGACATCTCCCAAAAACGAAAATAAAAGATTAAGAAAAAAGAAAAGAGAAGGAGGGCAAAGGTGACCCACAGCACCATCGCTGATAAAGTTCCAGGATTATCTCCTGAGCTTCCGTCGGCAGATACGGCTTTTCCCTTTTGGCAGAAGCCGTCGTTTTTAAATACGAGAGCCGACAGGCAGTACCCAAACAGGCGTCCGTACACAAACCTTGGAGCCACCAGCGCTGCGGACCGCGGAACCGGTCTCCCAAGCAGGATGCTGACCAGCCTCCGGCCAGGGTCCTCCTCCTCCGCCCCGACCCCTGCAGCCCACCAGCCGGCTAGGAACGACCGGCCAGGGAGAAGCCTCGTCCCCGGGGTCCTATCACGCTAACAGATCGGCGGCGCCCTCGCTCCCAGACTCGGCCCGGGCCGACGGCCCCCGCGGGGACCCCTCCAAGACGCCCTCGGCGGCGAAGCGGCCTCCCCGCCCCCCGCGCTGCCAGGGCCGCTGCAGGCCTCGCGGTCCCCGCCCGCCGCAACCGCGGCCCAGTTCGCCGCGCCCCAGCCGCCTCCTCAGCCCGAACCGGGCCCCCGCCGCCCCCGCTCCCGCTCGCGAACCTCACCTCAGAAGCGAATCGTGGGCAGCACGCGGGATTCCGGGGTGCCACTGCGGCCACCGCCCGTCGGCTCCGACTCCGGCTCCGCCCCCGTCCCCTGGCCCACAGCCGCGGCCCGCCCGGCCTCTCCGCCCCTCAGCCCCTCCGCTCGCCCCCACCTCCCGAGCTGGGTGCGGCCTGCGGCGCTGCAACCCAACAACGCGCCGCCCCATAGGCCGAGCCGCGCGGCACTGCAGAGCAACGTGCCCTGCGATTGGCGGGGCCCATGAGGGGCGGGTCCCCTGCGGGCGGGGCGATTGGACCCGCCAGACCCGCCTCGGGGCGACCCCGCCTGGGCCTGCCGAGGCTGGGGACCAGCACGGAGTGCACTAGGCCAGCAGCTTTGGGCGCCACGTCATGGCTTCACGATGGCTCGGTCGGCTGCGGCGAGCCCCAGCCGCGTCCGCTGGACACGGTTTCATTGTGATTGACCTCGGCCGGACGGGCTGTCGGAGTCCAGGAACCCTGCCCCCCGCTGCCCACCCCGCGCACTCCCCCAGCAGACGGGCCCTGCCCCGCGTGGCCCCGCCTTGTGCGGCCCCCAGGCCGAGTTTTGGGGCCCGGGTGGGGTCGAGGCAGTAGGGCCTGTGGGCCCTGATAAGGCTCCACAGAGGACAACTGCCTGGCACCCGGGCCCGGCCTGTGGGTGCTGAGGGGACGAGCGAGCACCAGCACCTCCGCACAACCAGGGAGTGAGCCTGCAGGGCTTTGGCGGGACCAGCCTCAGACCAGCACCTTCCCACACACTGTCCCTCCTGCTGGCGCATCTGACACCCAAAAACACCAGCAAGACAAATGGGCACGGCTGCTTGTCCTCTTGACACCCATAGAAAGCTGAGGTCCAGAGCTGGGCAGTGGCAGAAGAGTGTGGAATCCAGACCTCCCTGCCGAGCAGGAGCCTCTGTGACATTGCCCCACAAGGGTCAGGGATACCGCCTGGATGGGAGTCAGCGACCCTTGTTCTAACCATTTCTTTTGGACGTTGGCTTTTCCAAGATGACTTTTCTGACAAGATCACAATTCTGTCTCATTCACTTCTGCTTCCCATCGTTAATCACTAGGGAAACACAAATCAAAACCATTGTGGGATACCACTTAACATTCATTAGGATGGCAGTTGAGGCTTCAGCCTAAAATCCCAGCACTTAGGGAGGCAGACAGGAGGATAGCCTGAGCCCAGGAGTTGGCAGACTTGACTATGTTACCTGGGGGTCCTTGCTCCCAGAGGTCCCAAGATGGTGGTGGACCACTTCCAAGATGGTGGTGTGTCCGGAATTGGTGGGTTCTTGGTCTCGCTGACTTCAAGAATGAAGCCACGGACCCTCGCAGTGAGTGTCACGGTTCTTAAAGATGGTGTGTCCGGTGTCTGTTCCTTCAGATGTTCAGATGTGTCCGCAGTTTCTTCCTTCTAGTGAGTTCGTAGTCTCACTGACTTCAGGAGTGAAGCTGCAGACCTTTGCGGTGAGTGTCACAGCTCTTAAAGGTGGCACATCTGGAGTTGTCCGTTCCTTCTGGTGGGTTCCTGGTCTCGCTGGCTTTAGGAGTGAAGCTGCAGACCTTCGCAGTATTACAGCTCATAAAGGTGGCACGGACACAAAGAGTGAGCAGCAGCAAGATTTATTGCAAAGGGCAAAAAAAGCTTCCACAACATGGAAGGGGACCTGAGGGGGGGTTGCCACTGCTGGCCCGGGCATCCTGCTTTTATTCCCTTATCTGACCCCACCCACATCCTGCTGATTGCTCCATTTTACAGAGAGCTGATCAGTCTATTTTACAGAGAGCTGATTGGTCCATTTTACAGAGAGCTGTTGGTCCGTTTTACAGAGAGTTGATTGGTCCATTTTGACAGAGTGCTGATTGGTGCGTTTACAATCCCTGAGCTAGACACGGAGTGCTGATTGGTGTGATTACAGTCCTTTAGCTAGACACAGAGTGCTAGACAGAAAGGCTCTCCAAGTCCCCACTAGGTTAGCTAGACACAGAGTACTGATTGGTGTATTTACAAACCTTGAGCTAGACACAGAGTACTGATTGATGTATTTACAAACTGTGAGCTAGACAGAGTGCTGATTGGTGTGTTTGCAATCCTTTAGCTAGACACAGAGAGCTAGATAGAAAAGTTCTCCAAGTACCCCCCCAGGTTAGCTAGTTACAGAGTACTGATTGGTGTATTTACAAACCTTGAGCTAGACACAGGGTGCTGATTGGTGTATTTACAATCCCTGAGCTAGACATAAAGGTTCTCCAAGTCCGCACTAGACTCAGGAGCCCAGCTGGCTTCACCTAGTGGATCCTGCACCTGGGCTGCAGGTGGAGCTGCCCACCAGTCCCGTGCCATGTGCCCGCACTTCTCAGCCCTTGGGAGGTTGATGGGACCAGGCCCGTGGCACAGGGGGCGGCACTCGTTGGGGAGGCTCCGGCCGCATAGGAGCCCACGGTGGGGATGGGGAGGCCTGGGCATGGCGGGCTGCAGGTCCCGAGCCCTGACCTGCGGGGAGGCAGCTGAGGCCCTGCAAGAATTCGAGCACAGTGCCAGTGGGCTGGCACTGCTGGGGGGTGTGGCACACCCTCTGCAGCTGCTGGCCTGGGTGCTAAACCCCTCACTGCCTGGGGCCGGCAGCACTGGCCAGTCGCTCCAAGTGCAGGGCCCACCGGGCCCACCGAGCCCTCGTCCACCCAGAACTCACGCTGGCCTACACCATGCACAACCCCAGTTCCTGGCTGCACCTCTCCCTCCACACCTCCCTGCAAGCAGAGGGAGCTGGCTCCGGCCTTGGCCAGCCCAGAGAGGGGCTCCCACAGTGCCATGGTGGGCTGAAGGGCTCCTCAAGTGCCACCAGAGTGGATGCCAAGGCCAAGGAGGTGCCGAGTGCAAGGGCTTTAGCATGTTGTCACCTCTCAGTGGCAAGCCTCATGTTCTCTGACCTGGGGTTCTTGGCCTCACAGATTCCAAGGAATGGAATCTTGGGCCATGTGGTGAGTGTTATCGCTCTATTAGAAGCCATGGGTCACAGAAGAGAACCGTGAACCCAGTGACTAGTGTTCAGCTCGATTAGGAAGAACCCAGGCACTTAGCCATGCAGGAACAATGGCAAACCTTTAGCCCGATTGGGAGTGGCAAGGGGTGCCTTGCTGGATCAGGAGCACAGTGGACACCCTGCTGGATCCAGAGGGATGGAAGTCAGCGGTGGGTCTGCGATGGCGGCAAACAGCAGTGGTGGACGGCGAGCGAAAGCTCAGCTCAAGCCATAACAAAACAGGGACCAGAAGAGTGCAGTTGCAAGATTTAATAGAGTGAAATAGAGTGAAGACAGACCTCCCATATAAGGGGAGGGGACCCAAAGAGGGTTGCCATTGCTGGCTCGAATGCCTGGGTTTATATCCTGATCCTTGTCCCTCCCGCTGTGCTCTCAGGCAATAGATGATTGGCTATTTACCTCCTGTTTTTGCCTAATTAGCATTTTAGTGAGCTGATTGGTAGGGTGTGGGCTAAGTTGCAAGCCCTGTGTTTAATGGTGGATGTGGTCACCTTCCCAGCTAGGCTTAGGGATTCTTAGTTGGCCTAGGAAATCCAGCTAGTCCTGTCTCTCAGTCCCCCTTCTCGACAGGAAAACTCAAGTGCTGTTGGGGAGGTTGGCCAACAACCGCTCTAACCGCTTCCTGCTGAATTGGGGTGTAGTAGGGATTGTGCAGTTGAGATTTCCTCTGGAGGGGTGCCTTCGATGTCATTAACATCGGAGCACGGGCTAGTAGGCTGGTCCAGGGGTCCGCGATAGATCTTAGTCATGGACTGCATCTGGGTCTCCATTTGAGGAACTATTTGTAGTTCTACAGCTTCAATTCCGGAAGAGACAAATTTAACAAGGAGGTTAAAGATACAGGGATTTAAATGTATGGCCTGCAGTGCAGGGGATTATTTCTTTGGTACACTTTACAGGCCCCCACTATCTGCTTGATACTTTTGAAAAGGCCTGGTCCAGTAAATGATTTGGCCATCTGAAGGGTGCTATCAATGCCTAAGTCAAAGTTTTGGTGAAGGGTTTTAAGTAATTTCCATTGGTTAGCTGCAGGCAAAGTATTTTTCCTTCTTCGATGGCTAGCCATCCTGAGGGGAGGAAACTATGTCCTCATGAGGTTCCCTATTCTATTTCTTTGTCTGAGTACTGGGGCTTGGGTTAGGGCCTTCTTTAGGGCCCAGAAAGCCGCTTCTGCTTCAGGTGTCCATGTTATTAAATGGGTATTGGCTTTCTAAGTTTCCTTAATTAGCGTATATAATGGTCTGGCTATTTCACCATACCTGGGAATCCATATTCAGCAGAAACCTGTTATGCCAAGGAACCTTAGTTGCTTTAGGGTTTTGGGATGAGGATAAGCCATATAGGCTGGATATGTTCCTCACTGAGGGCCATGGTGCCTTTGGATAATTTTAGCCCTAAGTATTTAACCTGCTGTGAGCAGAGCTGAGCCTTTGGTTTGGAAACCTTGTAGCCACAGGTAGTGAGGAAATTTAAGAGCGCCTAGGTGGCTTGATGGCACAAGGTTTCTGAACAGGTAGCTAAAAGTAAATCATCCACGTACCGAAGGACAAGAGTGTTCAGGTATGAGAACTGGCTCAAGTCTTGGGCTAATGCCTGGCCAAATAGATGGGGGCTATCCCTGAACCCTTGGAATAAAACAGTCCAGGTGAGTTGAGACACTGGGTATGAAGGATCTTCAAAGGCAAACAAGAATTGAGAGTCAGGATGTACAGGGGTGCAGAAAAAGGCATCCTTAAGGTCCAGGACTGTAAGCCACTCTGCTTCCTCTGGTATTTGGGAAAGCAGAGTATAAGGGTTAGGTACA